CTTTGTCAGCCAGCCCTCCCTGCTTCGACTGGGGAGCAGAGGGGCGGGGCCAGCCCTGCTCTCTGGAGCAGACATCACAGCCCGACCCAGGGCTGTAAAACTTACTGGGATGCTGGAGTCTGTTATTTAACTTGAACCAGGAAGCGGTTTGGGATGGAAGTCTCATAAACCAGTTTGACTCAACTCAGTTAAGTCTGATACTACATTCAACCAGGTTTATCTTAAACCAGTTTCAGCTATTTTGAAACTGGTTTATGTACACTGAGCTTCTGTTCTGTTACAAGTTTAAGCCAGTTTCTGATCACTTAAACTGTATTATGTGTCACTTTTGTCCCTCGCCTAAAAGTGTTTGTATTTTTGTTTCCGGGCACAGTCTGCACTGGCTGTACCCCTCCTTTGAACCATGCAAATCTTTCAGGAGCACAAGGGTCAATTGTTGCACTTTGATTTTTGCAGGGCTTCCATGTATTCCTTAGAGCCAATTCAGAATACAGCTGCTAATTTGTTTACTGGTACATACTTCATCTGCCTTGTACTCCATAGGTTACTCTTCCTATAAATTATTTTATTGATTTTTTTTTTTTTTTTTTTTTTTTTTTTTTTTTTTTTTGTGGTTGGTTGGTTGTTTTTTTTAAAGCACTGGTTTGTACAGGCCATCAATATATTCTGTGCCTCTGTTGGGTTATGTATGTCTTGCCTTTTAAGAAGCTCATTGTACGAAGTCAACCAACAATCCATACTTTTGCTTTGTGCGAAAACCCATTTCCATCCACCTCTCTGCTTTTTACAACACTCTAAGCTGTTTTTTCTAAGAAGCATAGTTGGCATCTTACATATATCTTTTGGCTCTTGTTCCCTTCCCCACCCCCACCACTACCTTTTTTCTCATAGATTGAGCTCCTTCCATTTCATTTTGTTGTAATAATAGTTTTTTACTGTAATTTCTCAGTATTTAGAAATATCTCTTATTATACTGCAAAGTATCCAGAGCTCCTTGGAAAGGGAACCTTGCAAAAGAAAAGATTCTCTGTTTTAAAGTGTTAAAGGTCCACTGACACTTTTCTGAAGTGTATGGTTTGTCTTAGTCCTTGGCTATTGTTTGCCTCCCAGCCAAGAAGTGACTACATTTTAGTAATGCTTTTGTGTAGTGATTTCTGTGGGCAGCCCCTGAAACCCTGAAGGGTCAGGTCCTTCACTGTAAAATATACCAGTATTTATATTATAGGATGAAAGTTACCATGTAAATATAAAATATTCTAGTGTTCCATAGCATGACTAACTGCTGAAGAACTACCACTACTTATTTTTAAAGATTAAAGTGGAATTATCTAAAATGTGCTAAATAAACAAAAACTCACTGTGTTTAAAATTATGTTGCCCAAGTACTGTCATTTCTTTAAAGTAGTTAAAGTCATTCTTATTCATGAACAATGGGGCCCATTATGTGGAGTTTGCTGTGCTTGAGAAATCATGGTTCAGTTCCTGGCACAGCTATTAGGGCCTGGAATCACAACTGAGTTTGCACCCTGCAAGTGGGCAACCTCTGAAAAGAAAGTTTTCTACTGTGCAGTATACTGTCAAAACAATAGCAGGCCATGTCAGGCTCCACTGTTGTTAAGACTTGCTATGGCATCCAAAATGTGTTCTGTAGCTTTGATGTTGCTATAGAGTTGGAACAATGGAGCCTGACGAGAAAACATGGGCTCTGAATGGAAACATGGGCTCTGAATGGAAAATGCATAGGGAATGTGGTAGTGAAAACTCAAGAAGGAGAAATGTAAAATCCTAGATTTAGAACTTGTTATTTTTTATAGAAATGGGAATCAGTCATGTTTTGTCACTTACTAGTTGCCCTTTTTGTTCTGTAAACAGCACTCTTTAAAAGGAAAGATCAGCTACTGCATTTCAAGTGGACAGTGTCATCAGTGTAGATGCCAGCAACTAGTTTTAGTGGAAAGATTTATATATCAGTTAAAAAAAAGTCCAGATTTTTGTACATTCTTTCTCCTACACAGTGTAAGAAGGCTGTTTGATTGAGAAGAATAGATCTTTTTGTATATTTCCTACGTTGCTGAGGGGATGGGAAGTAATGTTTTTAAATGTCTCTGAATATTTTAACAGATAACTGTACAAGCTGAATGACACTGTGTGGGAGTTTAGTTAGCTGGTAACTACAGAATGCCTTTGCAAACTGCTTAGTTATTTTAACAAAATTGCCTTCCTGCTTGTGGTTGGTGCTCAAGGTTAGAATGCCACAGAGTGTTTAATTTTTTTATCATGAATTATGTTCCTGATCCAAACACCAAGTAAGATGTTGGAAAGATTTATATTGACTTCAGTTTTTAAGAGCATTAAAAACACGCAGTCATTATACAAGTTGTATGTCAGACTGTAAAGCAAAACAGGATTTTGAAGCCTTAGTTGCCATGAAAAAATTCACATTTACTGTGGCTGTTTCAGGAAATTCACTCTTAAAAAGGATAAATAAGTTACCTAATGCTGTGGGAGTGAAACAAAGAAGTGTATACAACTCTTGCTCTATTGGATGCATTACATGCCCATGTTTCTGAATTACACATCTTATGTAAGAAAAAGTAAGAAAAGGAAAAGATAACTTACAGTATCATACAGGTGTCCAGTTTGTCTTATTTAAACAAAAATCTCAATGTAAAGTAGTAAAAATAAATCTATACAGTAGA